CGAGGGAGGGGTATCCCCAACCCTCTTGGGTTCCTCTGCTTCTTTTTTTCCCTTATTTCCTTTTTTTACGGGCTTGCAACCCTTATTGGCCATGAATATCAAATTTATTCCAGGCTGCACCCTGGGATTGGGGTTAAATCCTGATTTCTGGCGACACCACCGCCATCTCTCTCCCGCCAAATGTATTCGCAATATATATACACACATATACAGAGAGTAAATATATAGAATATTGCGAAGGGATGCATTTTATATTCGCGAGACATAAGGGGGCTGCCATCTGCGTATAACCAGGGGCTAAGAAAGGGATGCAAAGGGACAGAGAGAAATTGGCTCGAAAATCAATTTTTACTTTTTTTCTTTTACCTCGAGGTCAACCGTTCAGGAATTTCTACTGTATGGCTCAGGCATCCGTCTTTGGGCAATATAGTACAGTGGGTCTTTGCTTAGCTGGACAGAAGATACGCGTTAGGGTCTCTTATTTTATAGATTGGCAGTGGTGCCACCCTCGGGGACGATATTTCCAAAACGGTTAGTAACCGAAGTCCTCCCCTAACCTTGAGCATTATGTGTCTAAGCAATATGGGGTGGTCCAGCAGCATCCCCAATAGTAGAAAACCCCGCTACTTCCTTTTCCGAATGTGAGCGCCTGTTTGTTGTAAATGCGTGTGGCTGCTATATATATATATATATATATATATATATATATATATATAGTGTCTATGTACTTGCGTACTTACAAGGAACGCGAAAACTCGGCCGATTTACTTCGAAAAGAGCGACAGATGTTGGCGACGTTAACTGTACGCACCGCGTCGTGACTTCGAGCGTCTTTATAACGTTGAAATTAATGAAAATTTTCTCGACTACTGGGTAGGCAAACGCGATTGGGCTGTCGCCTTTTTTCTTTTTCTTTTTTTTTCCTACAAGGTATAAGAAAGTCACCCCTCGTTAAGGAAGAAGTCCCACGTAAGAGGATTTATAAGAGTAGCAAGGATTAAGAGGGCGCTCGGTAAAGCCAGCCCGGGATCGACCCTTAGCTTTATTTTTACCCTTTGTAAATAAGCAGAAAAGGCAGGGTTATTATTAAGGGTTGATAACGGCGTTAAAACATAAATTATCACTACCCTCTGGGATGCCATGTATTCGCAGGAGACTCCGCGCCGTGTAGGAAATGTATACACGGGTTGCATTAGATTCCCATTAATCCCGTCTTGACGTAGGTGTCAAAGGTCATTAGTATCTACAGGGAGATTCGCTATCTATCCAACTAGCGTCTGTGCTGCCTATGTATGTCCCGGCCGATACGTGGAAGGATATCTAACTAACGAGGGATCCAGGGGATTTGCAAGCCGTGTGAGTCTATGGGAAAGATAGGGATCTAGGAATATTGAATAGAGAGACAGCAAAGCCACGGGGGTATATAAGGTGATGTGACTCAACCTCAGGGTGGTTGTCCCTGCTCCCCTGGACAAATGGGGAGTCCATCGTCCAGGGACCAATCCTTGGGGGAGTGAATCTCTTTGTGCCCAGTGCTCATCCGGGAACGCTAATTCGTGGCGGCGTGCACACGTGCATAAAAAAAAAAGGAGGGCCAACGTACGAAAGAAACTGTGTACGTAACCTGGAAACGGATAAGAGAATATCATAGCGAAGGATGAAGCGATGGTCCCGCGTAATATTGAATCGGCCAGGTAAAGCTCATGACATCACGCGTGTAATCGAAAGGCCGATAAGTAAGATTTCTTCCTTTACTTTGTTTCTAGTATGAAATCCATGTCAGGCTTCAATCCAATATGCGATTGTAAGCATCGTCGTTGCTTCGTTCCGACTGCGATTGGCTGTCGGTGTCGTCATTCGACGAGTGTTAAGGTGCGATTTGACAAATAGGCTTCTTCAGGGAAGCGTTCGTCAATAATGAAGATCGTTAAAATTGTTATCTTACAGAATAGATACGCAGTATGACACTGTATCTGTTCAGAGCGCGTCGCTGTACTTTTGTGGCGCCCGAAGCAGGCGCTTTGGTCTAGTTTAATTAAATTTTTCGTCCGACGGCCTTATGATAAAACAGAATAACTACCTTATCGAACTTTTTCGATACTCGGTACGAGCATTCACTTGATATAGACAGACTGAACTGAGCAGAAAATTTGACGACGGTTACCTTAGAAATTTAATCATACATGCGATGCTGTTTCGACGCACGCGCGAGAGATGTCCGCGGTACTGTTTCAAAGCTCGTAGACAAGCTATATGAAATAGGCTGGTAGTTGGAAAAATCGAGAGGGTCCGTGAGAGGATGAAACGTAAAAAGTGGAGACTTGAGAGGTATGGAAAAAGAAAAAAGAAAACGGACATGGAGGATGTCGAAGATTATCACTTCAGCAAGAAATTCATAGCCTTTTTCCCATATATCTATAAAGAGCCATGTATATGTATATACGTCTACCACGGTTCTGTTCAGGCTCCTAACAGTAGTTTGACAGCTAACCGATAATAAGCTTTTCGCTAGAAATGGCCGCTTAGTCACCCTCCAGTCATGGATCTTATTCATAGATTATATATATATATAATATATATATAATCTATATTATATTATATATATATATATATATATATTATATTATATATATATATATATATATATATATATATATACACACTACTATCTAACGTATTAAGAATAGGAGGGCAACGGTGAAGGTACGTCGGTTCGTCCAGTCTGGTTATAAAATTTCCTAAGGGTTCTGTATTATACCGGGTAACTAATTAAGTAGCACAGAAGTATTTATCCGGTAGAGTGGGATTCCGTCACCCTGGTACTCCGTGGAATTGCGTCTGCTTAACTAATCACTATTAAATTCCCTGTGCTCGGTCCGTGCTACACGATGCCCATGCTATATAGTGCAAGCGTACTGCCATAGCGTATGCATACAGAGGAGAAACGAAAACTACGCTTAAAGACCGGTTGACGATCACTGAACGTAATCGCCTTGGCCTGTCAATCGGCGCTCCGTATACCGAACGCGTAGCACTACTGCAGCCCGGAGTGAATGCATTGCCCTTATGCGAGTCTTATATGCAGCGATGTCTACTCGGCACAAGCACTGCGAGAAGTGCCAGTACACTGCTGCAGCTCGGTAATAATACACGGGCATTGTACTCTCCGCCTGGAGCCTTTCCTGCCTTTTTCTACTTGTTGTCTGTTTACGTGAGTCCCTTTCTATTTTTCTAGGACAAGTTTGCAAGGGACTCCCTTTCGTTTTTTTTTTCTGGCTATTTTTTCTTCCTTTGAAATACTTATCAGTCATTATTGGCACGCGCCTGACACGTCGTGCATATGAAAATTTCTCTCGGTACTACCCGATCTGTTCCTACTCTCTCTCTCTCTCTCCCCCCTTCTGTTTTTTATTTTATTCAGGAATCAATGAATCATCCGCTATGTATATTTATAAGTTGATTTGGGCTTAACCTGATGCCTAGTCACGTTCGAGATGGGCATCTCATGTTTTTGTGCCATACGTATGCAGGACTATTCGGGTTTACGTGCGGTAATAAGGGGGGGTTGATCGCTATAATTTTAAGAGGGTGAACTTTACGATCGAGAGTGATTTAGGGAGTAGTTGCGACGAGCGAATAGAATTTCGCAAAATTAATTGATAAATAAATTTAAACGTACGACAGTAAAGCGTAGATGGAAGGGAAAGAAATTTCTCTTTGAAATTTACGAGTTTTCTGTACCTGCCAACGAGTGCGAGAGAGATGGCCTTATGGGAGTTCATGCGCATTAGACAAGGACGGTACCCGTCGTCCAAATCGTGAATGGATAAACGCTCTCACAAAATACTAACTTTTTACTTTAACTAAAAGTTAAAATTTTCACAATCACTTTCAAGTATCCAAACGATCCACTGGTACAATTTGTTATGTAGAATAAGAAAACAAAAAGTATTTACTTCTAGATTCGAATGAGATACTTACAAATGACTCTAACTTCTGTACCAGATCGCAATCTGTGCCCATATACGATCCGTATATCTATATACGTAAGTTCTCAATAGCTATTCATATCGTACCATATATAAAGTTTAAATTACACAATACAAGCCTAACGGCATGATACTCTGTAAAAAGCCGTAGGCCTGCCTCCGCTCGTCGTTCGTGATGTACCCAGATTAAAAAGTCTGGTAAGTACTCCCGATCAGGAATGATGAGTCCAGTGCACATCCCACTCGGGACGATGATGGTCCACGATGATGAATGCGGGCTGCCTATCAACTCCAAGTAATCGTAATCCAAGATGAATTCAAACGGAAATCGCGCATAGAATTACAGTAGTGGTCAGAGAAGTGCCATAGGTAGTTAGGACCCCCGTAATATATACATATTTACGTATATATACACGTAACGTAAACGTAAGTATACGTATATCGCATAGCAAATGCACTGGCAGTATATTAAATAAGCGCCTTAACGCGTCGCTACTTTATATTTACCTTCTTTATCCGTATCCGTACGTACACAGTGTGGCGTACCCGGCACTGTCCTGGTAGTATGCTCGTTAAACGAACCGGTCAATCGTCGTTTTATCGAGTGGCTGCTTTGCCAGGGACATTAGTCATACAGTTTTTCTGATAATCTTCGCATATGCGAACCTCACCCGTCGTTGGTACGATTATCTTGTGTCTCATTGAATGAGCGAGGGAAGAGTACTCCTGGACGTCTCGGTGCCCGAGTTATCGTCAATTGTTTGATTCGCCTTACTGTACTCGGATAAGGAAGGGGCACACTCGTGTAGCGTTGGGTTCGAGGCTTTGTGTATGTTACGTTTACGGTAGGCGAATATATATATTGTATATATGTACTTGTGTAATATACGATCGGGCTTACGGCCCTCTTTATCGTCAGTCTTCTCTGTTACGTTACGCGAGAGAGGGAGACTGTACGTATCTGGTAGTGATTGCTGGCGAGACTCAGGAAGTGTCAATGTCTGACTTCAGGAGGACTGAAACACGGTAACGGCGGTATCGGCAGTGCCAGCAGTTCCAGGAGTACGAGTCCGAGTCAGCAGCAGATTCCCCAGGGCGGATTGTCGTTCATCCCTCAGCCACGTTCACAGAATACGGGGAGGCAGCCTACGGCTACGACACCTAGGTGAGTTCGGTTTACTGTTTGTTGTGGTCCATAAGGGATGCTGGATGTGATGTTGGTTATTTGTCGATCGAATTTCTTTTTGCTTTCAGTCCGAGAGCTTCGACTGTTGGTAGACCCGGTGGGGGCCTTAGGGCCCCGCAACCGTCACCGTACTCGGGCACCGTCGCTCCTCCTGTACAACAGGGTAAAAATTCTGTGCTCGACAAATTCAAGCTGTTCAACAACAAGGAGAAGAATCAGGAACGCGTCAAGGCGTCTTCCGGCGTCTCCAAAAGGACGTCGAGCTCCTCTGGGTTCTCGTCGGCCAGGTCGGAATATTCGGATAGTTCCACGTCGCTCTGCGATCAGAACAAGGCTCAGGTTGAGTCTCCGAAGAGTAGGGCCCTCAAGTCGAAACTTCAGGCCAAGCCTGCCAAGCAAGCTAGTCCTAAAAGTGCCAGAAAGGATCAGACTAAGACGCAGAGCAAGATAGCGCGTACTAAAGGGACCGAGAAGCTGCTGTATAATCCGACGTTGGAGGAGGCCAAGGCGAGCAAGATCAGTAACGCGGGTCCAAAATTGGCCGTGGATAAAAAGGCCTCGAATTTGGATTTATTGAAACAGACTAGTCAGCTACAGAAGTCTAACTCTCCACTGGCGACGCCGAAGCAGATACCGCAGGAGACGAAAATTTTGGCTAACTCGAAGACCGACCCGGTGAAATCGTGTCAGAGGCCCAAAATGGACCTTCCGGCGAAACTTCAGGATCCCAAGGCTCATCCGCAGGGAATGAAAGTTCCGCCAAATGGATATAACAAGGATGTCCTACTGCAGAGAGGCCTCGTTACCAATGCTAATGGGATGATCAAGCAGAGTGGTCAGGAGGCGGAATTTGGATGCAGTCCAACGTCCGAAAATGGTCCAGTCTTCGATAATACATTGTCCATGAATCAGGCGAACTCGAATTTATCCGAGGAACAGAATGAGAGCACAAATAAGTGTCTACAGCGCAACGAGGACGCATCCAAGAATGGACAGACTTCCTGCGAGAGCATCAGAGAGAGGGAATCGAAGCCGCAGAACGCGAGCAATATCAGTGATCCAAAGTCGGCGGAAGTTGCTGTTCACGCGAAGGAGAGTCCGCATCCGGGGGAGAGTATCGGTGACTCGAGTGAAAACAAGACCTCGGGAAGTGAAGATTTTGAAAATCTCAACAACCTGTCGTCGTGTCAGCACGGAAAGCAGAATAACGGTACCAGCTCTCCGCAGACGTTATCGAGTTCAGGTGTCAGTCCTGGCTCCAGCATACCGAAGCCAACTGCCCTCGTAAAAGGCACCTCAAAGCCACCTAAGGAAACGAGCGTCCCCAGCGTCCCGACGCCCACGAAACACAAGAGTGACTCGCTACACCGTAAACTCGATCCCAATACAGTGGCAATGGTATCACCGATGCCAAGTATATCCGATCTCATGTCAGAAAGTTCACACAGCAATTCCAATAGCACGGGACAGAGCAATTCCAGCGACAGCAGTGTCATCTACCGGCCAAGCAGCGAGAGCGGAAGTGAGATCAAGACAATTCCAAACCGGAAGATCGACACGACCTTCGAACAAATGGAAAAGGTATGGATCCACGTGTTAACTGATAAATAATCTTCAGCAACTCGATAACAAACGAAATTTCCTCTCTGATAGGTCCTGTCGGAAAGTTCAACGTGCGGCGGCGGCGGCTCAATGGCGGATGACGAAGCGGAGATGACAGTGAAGCCCATGCAACCTTTATTAAGGGGTTACACACCAGGTGCCAGAGGACTGCAGACACTTCCCAGTAGAACAACGGCAAGGCAATACACCGTACTTCATTCCTCCTCCCATCATCACGTCGGACACGATTATGCCGACATAGACATAGCTTCTGGTTATCTGAGCGACGGAGAAGTCTTACGTGGTGGAGGTATGAACGTAGGCAGCAGGACCTTGTCTGATCTGTGCGACGGCTACATGTCGGAGGGTGGCGCATCCTTGTACGCTCGTAGGATCAATCCCTCCTATGCTCACGATCACGACAGGTGAGCCAAACATTGAGTGTATCTCTTTACGCATGTTCACGGTGGTTGCTGATCAATAAAGTGACGACTTACCTGGCTGAGCTTCACTTGCTGTACACGTAAACTTCGTTACAGTATCGACTGACTAACTAACTTGTTAGTACTTGGTATAGAGTTTCTACATAATCTGAGATTAGACTGTACCAGCGCAATATGTCCTTGGCAGGTGGTAAGGCAATTTATGAAGAATTAATACAGTAAAAACTTACTAACAAGACAGTACCAATCCGTATCGTCAGCCGGGATGAATTTAATATCCAATTTTCAAGTCACTGTCATTTACTATCGACGGTTATGTACAGTAGTAGTTAGTCGGCCATGTTTCTGGTAAGGTAAGGAAATTTAATTCGTTGAAATTACACTAGGCTAATATTAACTTTACTCGGTATTCGCACGCATGTCCAATTAGTTGACTAACCCTGTCAGTCATTTTAATTTCTTGAAATCAAGTAATTTCACTATGAATAATCCGTCGACTGTATTGCCTACCAAGCTTCTATCAGCCTTCTATATTTATCTCAAGAATTACAGCAGAGCTAGCCGATCATCCTGTTACGTTCCCATAGCGCTCAGTGATCCCTGTACTATACACAGTCAAGATTATGGGGGGTTGCAATCGCAGGGGTGTGTAAATTCTCAATTCGGCAGGAAGCAAAGACTTTAGGGGAGAGGTTGCTGCCCTTAAGTCGACATAGGGCGGAAGTGGACCAAAAAGGATAATCTCGATTAGATCCTTGCGGATTGAATTTGGATTTGGTTCTGCCTCGCTGAGCACAGACACTATCCTTACTTTGGGGGGTGAGCTGCGGCCATGGTTACCCTTCGTTCCTCCCCCATGAGATTCGCAACCCCCCAGACTCGTATACCTATACTATTTTCCCCATGGTGTCTCCTCATCCCTTCTTTCCACCTCCGCCGCGGTGCCTCCGGCGTTGTTTTCACAACGCTTTAAACCACCCCCAACCCCCGTAGCGCCTTTAACTCCATCAGCATAACCAAGAGACGCGTATCATCCGTTCGTGAAACACGACGCGCTTTTCCGAAATTCAATATTCTCCCATCCCCCTAACCACCCCACCACCGTAGAAAGTGAATGCAACTGCTACCCCTATGCATATACAGATATACCATACTGCCAGATAGAACAAAGAACTTTCAATGGCATCAATACAGCGAGAAAACGTTGCTCATCCGGTTTAGCGGTATCGATAAATCCTCATTCTGTCACAATGGAGACAAGCAGCCAGCTAACCCCCGCCGCCCTCAGCTCCAAGCGGTGACGTTCAAACGATTACCCGTTACTCTCTGATATTCCAGCCTTCCAGCCTGAAGAGATCTGTTGTCTGGCCCGTTAAACGGAAACCTATTTAACTACTAGTAGTCCCGTAGTCCCGGTATGCTTGGAGTCCTATGTATATACATCGGCTGAACCTATCGCAGCGGTTCCCAACCACCAACAACAAAACTGTTCTTTGTCCTTGCTCGAACAGCCATGGCGTTGTCCGTAGTTAGTGAAATCGCCGAGTAATTCAGTAAGGGTATACCAGGTGGCGCCAGGTTCGATAAGGAATAAAAGGTGGGTAGCATCCCCAGGCACTTTGATACAGAAACTTCCACGGACGACAATGGAGTCCTCTGGAATACGATTTCCCGTATTTCTCAATAGCAATGTTCATCTTTGAGATACGCAAAGCAACGTTGGTGATATATCGTTGAGTTCTAAAGGAGATAAGGGTGATGCCAAGGAACGTAGCCAGACGTGTCCTGTACGCGTCGGATGCTTACATAGGTGTATGTGGCACGTACTGATTTTGGCGTCTGCGTAAGGCTGTGTTCCGTGACGTCATCACGATCGATCCGTACTGAACGTAACGTGGCGCTATCTGACGGCGTAGAACTTGTAGCTTCGTATAATCGTGGGCGGACGGAGTATCGCACGAGCGAACCGTGTAAAGTGCGAGGAGTGACAGAGGAACGGTTCCTTGGGGGTTGAGGGTTGTACGTTGACGTACTGTGCCGATGACGGTGTCTCGTCCCGGTGACGAGATTGGTGTTTCTGTGTTCTGGCTTTCTCGTATTCCGAAATTTCCTCCGGAATATGAGCCGTACTAAAAGTGTTCATAGATACGTTGTTCATTGAAACTGAAGTCTTAAGACTGCATTGCTCACGAGAAACCGTCCGGAGACAGGACTGGGTCTTGTTACGATCTGAGAATACGGTAAAGACTTAGTTTTTATATTTACTTTTAAATTCTACTTTGCTATCTTTAATTATCCTGGAGATATGGGATTGAGCCGGATACTGTTATTTTTCTCATTTTTACCTTTATTGTAGATCTTTTTTCTTGGCTTCCTTCTTACTCGTCTAGACCGTCTAACAATGGGAGGAATGTATCGATGGAGCTGTATTATACAGGCTGCTGTAAAACCCAGCTAGAGCCACGGTGAACTATAGTGAGAGCAACTTTATGGTCGAAGATTGTAAATGGTATATGGGCTACCATGAAGATAGGATAGGATCTAGACTAGAAAAGATATCTGTGCAAGTCTGTAAATATATACTGAATACTTTAACGGCCAACAATGGTATTACAATTGAAATGACGTATATAAACATGAATCCCATAATGAATCTCGAGTCAGTATAAATACCAATATATAAATTATCCCAATAAACAACGGTTTAATCGTTAATTGATCGTCTTCCAAAAAAACTGTACAATGACAATTCGTTAAAGGAATTCGAAGCCGGTTGCTGCTGGTTACGGTTGCTAACGGTCCCGAAATATCCTGTGGATTTTTACAAGACATTGATTCCTTCTGATGACGCGACAGGACGAACTACACAATTGGAAACACATGGAAATACGTGGCTAATATATATATATATATATATCACTGTTTCTCATTCAAGCAAATCATTTAATTTCTAATAATAAAACGAGACGACTGTATCCTGACGCCTGATTAATTGGAAACACATGGAAATACGTGGCTATTGCTAACGGTCCCGAAATATCCTGTGGATTTTTACAAGACATTGATTCCTTCTGATGACGCGACAGGACGAACTACACAATTGGAAACACATGGAAATACGTGGCTAATATATATATATATATATATCACTGTTTCTCATTCAAGCAAATCATTTAATTTCTAATAATAAAACGAGACGACTGTATCCTGACGCCTGATTAGGTTAAGGGTCTAGTCTTACTAATCAAGCAATTCCTACCTGTCTCCATCTGACAGGAACCCATACACTCATCTCAGTGGTATCCCAATGCGAACGAATGAGAGTGGTCCGGGATGTGATTGGAATCAGCAATTGGCAGACTCCTTACGAGACTTCCAAATTGGCATTTACTATAGGGAGGATAATGGCGGCCGACTGGCGGGTCCTTTCTAAGCCATTACCACTATTATGGTTCAAGGTTCCACTTTACCTTTATGCATACTCGTTGCGTCTCTCTTGCTCCCTTAATCTCCCTCCTCACCTACCCTCGTATTCCTTCCACTTCTATTTCCTTACTACTTTTCCCCCTTTTTTTCTCAATCCCCTTACTGCCCCCTTCCTACAATCCGAATTGTAATCGATGCCAAAGCCTATCCCATGCTCTTCAGCGAAGAATGGATCCTCTTGGCCGGCTACCAATTTTCTACGCTCCTTTAGACCCAAGGCACTTCAGGCTTAAACGGGACCAGGAACGTGGCAATGGACCAGGGCCATAAGGCCCCATTAAGTTCACCCTCATTTCCTGAGATTTTCAATAAGTATGATTTATACCTGCACTATACGATTAATGAAATATTTTCTTACTTTACAGATACGTCGGCGGTTCCAGGCGCGAGCTATCCGGGGTGAAGGAGCTGGTGAACTCGAGGAGGGTGCAGAAGAGGCCATCCGGGAACGGAAGGTCGGATGGCGGTTGCATTGGCGGGAGCGGAGCTGGCGTCGAGGGTGGTTTGCTAGGGGGTTGCAGCGGCGGCAACGACGCCCTGGCAGAACTCACCATCGAGGACCTGGCCTCCATTCCCGCCGGCAATCACACTTCCTCCAATCATACAGGACATCCCTCGCATCACAAGGTCAGTGACCCTTGCACATTTTACCTTGTACGTAGGTCAACGATCGTTGACCCGGATCGATCGAATAAATAAAAAATGCACTCTATCAATTAATCAAGTATTTATAAAGTAAAGCACAGTACACGCTGTACTAAAGTCTAGCCGTCAGCTGTTGCATCGTTGCAGCTGTCTCTTTACCACCCTCTCTTACTCCTCCAACGGGTAACCGTCTCTGCCTACACGATTTACTACGAAAATATATATTATCCATCCAGGCACCCTGTACAATCTTTAGTAACCGAAAGGTCATCGTATCTTTGCCAACTGAAATCAATAATGCTGTTACGAGAAAATAATATTTCTATCTGCAGACATTTTCTATACGCTTTCATAGATAAGCTCGCGTAGGCAGGATCAAAATGTATCTCGACTTTTGACCCCCTCTTCACTTAACTGCCTATTCAAAGAGAGTAGAGTACTCATTTATATATACCTATGTATACGTATATAGACATATAGGTATACCAATTACGTAGCCCATATCGGGGTAGCTCGTAGCTCGAGGGTCCTTATATTTCTTAAAGGCGACTTCTAAGACGCTCTTATCGTAGAAAGAGAACAAAAAAATAATTGAAAAAATCTCTTGGGTCCCTAGACTTTATTGCCCTTCGATTTAAATCATTTAAGAATAAGCTTCTCTCTGAATTTATTCCTTCTTTTCTTCGTCTTCCCGTCTTCAGCCTCGTATCTCGTAGCTCCTGACTATCGGTTTTTCCCGCTACACCCTGTACATCGAATGTCAGCCGGCCAACCGTTGCCTTCGGTCGCTCGTGGAAAAGAAGACGGTGGAGATTAGAGTTCACGTCGTGGCTGAGTTATGCAGCCGGGTCACGCCAGGTCGTCTAATCGAATCGATATCGCGCTGAAATAATAACTCCAGCCAGTTACCGCCGGATCCCGCTATATTGGCTAAGGTTCAGTCGTAGGGCTCCGTTACTGCTTGTATCACGTTCGTTACGCGAACGTTCAGTTCGTGGCTGCAGGTAACTCTAAGGTGGACAAAACTACGTATACCTATCGTGAACTTCTGAATCGACCGTAATACCGAGAATACTGTCTGCTGATACCTCCACCCTATTCCTGTGGGGTTGTAGTTGTACCCACAACCTACTACTAGAAAGTATGCATAGTCCGCTAGGTATAACGTGTAATGATTACAATGCCTATAGGTATACTTATCATAGTATACCTATCGTACGGCATACTATATTTTGCGACACCCTGTAGACTCGGCTTTCATGGTATCACGCACAAAGGGGGTGGTCTGGGTAGTCCGGTATGGTTTGTCGACCCTCGCCAGTTGACGAGTAACGTTCATGGTGCGTACACGCAGTTCTTGTTGTACGCGTACATATCCGTGAAGCTTGTGAACATACATGAATTTCGTAACAATATTATTATTATATAATGTGATAGGAAAATTTCGTGTTTCGTGGTAATGGCATGCTGTGGGGGAATTGAGAAAATGTTTTTTTTACGGATAACGAACCCTTGAACGTCGTTGAAATATATCGTGGCTATAAGGGACTGATAATTAGTGTTACACGCACGTTAAAAAGTTATGAAGAAAGGGTTGAGCGTTCGGGGAGAAAGGATAAAGGAGGAATCGGTGCCTTTTGATCCATTCGCCGATCCCTAGCTGTATGGGAGTATGGTGAGTCCTCGTTTTCTTTTAAAAGGGATAAGAATTTATTTGGATTCCCGTAGAAAGCTCAAAGGGTTCAAAAGGGGAACGTGGGAAATATTTATTGATCTTGACGACCTGCTTTGCCCCGTAAAAATGACAGGGACCGTTTATGAAGCACATTGTGGGACACGTGTAACCTCCATGTACGTAACTTGCATGCATATGGTAATATTATGGGATTTTTTTTCTTCATACTTTTTATTTCTTCATAATTTTTTTCCCTCTCTTCCTGTCGCTCTTTTCTAACGAATATCCATGGCGTGTCTGGGACGGACATCGGGAACTTCATTTCCCCATGAGTCACCACAGGGCAGGCCAGATCCATATAGAAAACGACACACCCACTCGAAACGAAACGCCAAACACCCTCTCTGAATCATGCTACGTTCAAGGGGGTTTACAGGGTACCGACATAGTATAGGAACGAACCCCCCCGTGCATGAGAATCAATACCCATACGTAAAATCGGTCGAAGTTTGTCTATAAAAATTATTGAGATTCCTATGGTTGACCTAGGTTCTGTAACCATAAGGGTAGGTTGTCTATTGAATTGTCTCAGCATATATATATATAAGTATATACAAGACCTGAAGTCAAATTAGATTATTTAGTGGTTAAGGATCCTTATGAGATTATGTATGAGAATCACGTGTTCCCTTTTTATGACTATGATGCAGAGGGTGCCGGGTGGCGGTAGCGTGATTGTGGGGGGTGGCGTCGGCGCCGCGTCTTCTGCCACCCCCCAGGGGGCCCAGCAGCAAGGGAACAACCTGGTCTACCGCGTGGTCAGTTCACGACATCCGGCGACTGGACATCATCCTCACGTGAAGAAGAGCGACAGTTCACAGCAAACGGACACCTCGGCGTTCAAGCAGCAACAGCAGCAGCAACAACAGCAGCTGCAGCAGCAGCAACAGCAAAACGTCAATTGTTCAAACAGTAGCTCTTCGAACAGTCAACAATGGAAAAAGTACATAGAGGCTGGAGCCGCCAGGGACAGAGACAGGGACAAGGAAGGTGCTCCACCTAGTCCTAGTCCTTCCAGGCGCTCTCAGGTACGTGGAGTAAGTTGGAAGACAAAATTTAATTCTTTCCGAGTGTCATTAATTGTTGATCGATTTTTAATCAAAATTATTTCATTTAATCATAGGACAAACACCGTAAGCAGGCCATGGCGGAATACGCTAACGGTGAGAAGCCGCAAAAAGTGTCTTCGGGAACTTCAACCAGTGGCAGCAGCAAGGTCAGAGGTGTACCGCAGAGTTTTGGATACGTAAAGAGACACAGTGCAGGTACAAGTCCTAGTCCCAATGGTGCTCAAAATGGCGGGAAGGATGCTGCGAGGACTGCACAAGTCAGTGCTGTACCAAGAACAAAGGTAAAAGACTTCAGCCTGAACAAATTGATCCCTATGCCTATAAGCAGCCAAGATTTCCCTAATTAAACTTGGAAATTTTATTCAGGTTAAGGTCTCCGGTGGTACCCAGACTTGCACCACGGAGCTTCAAGCGAATTCCTCGGGTTCGAACCAGGGTGGCCACCACTATAAGAGCTACAGTCTCACAGGCGCAAGCGCCAGTCAGCTGTCACAATCCGTCAGGGATCGTCTTATGCTGGGTTCGCAGAGTCTACCAAAACCCGGAAGTCCCGAATTCACCGCACTCTTCGCTGCCGCTCATCATCGTGAACGTGGCGGTGGCGGAGGACCGCAGACCTCCTCGTTCTCACCTCGGGTTCTCAAACCATCCGACGGAAGTCTGAGCGATACCTGCAGCAATTACGCAGCGCCTGATCTCCAAGGATACTACGCGCCTAACAGTCCTTACACTACTTCCTGGATGCGACACAGCAATACCTACACACCTAGTGGCCGCTCGCAAGGTAAGGAATCGCGCAATTGCCATGTAGACTGCCGCGTGCGCCTGTAATAGAGCAACCCGGCATGCAGACAAGTAAATATTGCTATCTGCTACTCTACTGTAGTCTCGTGCAATATATACTCCGTGTAACGTATATTAACTCGGGTCTGGGAAGTGATCGGAAGGGTCGATCCCCCCCATAACTCGAAAAATCTGGTTCCGTTGTTGGTTCTGGGTTGTTCTAAGTTTGTTCTATAATGTTCCAGAAAAACTAGTTTCTCAATTGAAATTTGTAGCGGTGAGGCGGGAAACACAGTTTTTTACCGGAACCCCCCATTTATGGAAAATCAAACGTTTTTTAGTTGTTCCAAGTTGTTCTAGTTGTTCTAAATATTGTTCCAAAATATTAGTACCGCTAAGTGAAGAATACTCGAAGGGGATCAAAAAAACGTTTTTTACATATAAAATCGTTCTACATTGTATAGTTCCGATTTCGAATCTTGTTCTACATTGTTCTAAGTTAGTTGCTATTATCCGATTGCTATACAAATCTAGAACAATCATCGATAGACCCAGAACCTAGGAAAACCTAGGAAAACCTAAAACAACCTATAAAAACCTAGAACAACCTAGAACATGCTGGAATAACCTGGAAATCGTTTGAAATGGTCCTATATCCACATGCGATTCTCAGAGCGTTCGTCCTCGTCAGCTTTTCTAGTGTTTCCCTGGTTTTACGTGTCTGTCCTACCTGATCATCCTGGAACAACCTGGAGCAACCTAGGACAACCTACGAAAACCTACGAAAACCTACAAAAACCTACGTAAACCTACAAAAACCTACAAAAACCTACAAAAACCTACGTAAACCTACGAAAACCAACGAAAACCTACGAAAACCTAGGAAAACCTAGAATAACGAAGGAGAACCTAGAACAAGCGGAAACAACCTGGAATAACCTGAAAATCATTCGAAATGGTCATATATCCACATGCTATTCTAAGAGCGTTCGTCCTCCTCAGCTTTTCCAGTGTTTCCCTGGTTTTGCGTGTCTGTCCTACCTGATCAACCTGGAACAACCCAGAAAAGCCAAGAACAACCTGGAACAATCTAGAACAAGCTGGAGCAACAAAAAAAAACGTTGATTTTCCGTAAATGGGGGGTTCCGGTAAGAAACTGATTTTTGCGCATCACCGCTACAAACTTCAATTGAGAAACTTGTTTTTCTGGAACAATATAGAACAAACATAGAACGACTCAGAACAAACAATGGAACCGGAATTTTCGAATTATGGGGGGCTAACTTCCCGGACCCTATTAACTCTAGCACTGAGAACTCTGTAAGCATTCGTGTTAAGTAAATCGTCTTTTTTTTTCAATGATCCTACAGGAATGGGTCTGTGCGAGGCTGATAGCGTGGAATCCCTGGGTTCACACCGTGCAAGCTTGACCCATGCACGACTCCTGATGCACCAGAGGGACTCGACAGGATCACCAGCACCCCCGCGATTAAATCGCAGCAACTCCATCAGGTGAATCATTATAAAACTCCATATATTCCATGCGAGCAGTTTACCCTGACATGTAAACAGACCAAAGAGTCAAGCGTTGCATTTATGTATAGTAAACACTAGCCGTATTGCACATACTTTTCAACCGGAAATACGTATGATGATTAACAATCACGACAGTCACTTTTTTAATATTGCGTCATTAATCTTCTTTGTCATTTTTAATTGACGAAATCATCTCTATCTTTTCCTCTCTCACTCTGTCTTTCACTCTCTTTCTCTCTCTCACTCTCTCTCTCTCTCTCTCTCTTACTCAACCACTTTCTCTCTGTCTTTTATTCTCCCTACTCCCTCATCATCACTTCCGGCAAAATAACACAGAGACTTTAATACCATTTTAGCCATCTGCGGGACAGGACATTCCCAAGGTAGCGAACTAGCGTGTATAGACAGACACGAGACATGCCTACGTTTGAGAAATGCATAAGTATACATATAAAAATGTTCGTACGAGGCGTGAAGCCAGCTGGGCCGTTTAGTTCCAAGAGATCTTTATACACTGTATGATTAAATTAAAAATATCAAGGTAATTCGTACGTCTCCACGTACGAATAATATGTTGTAATTTTCCAATGTATTTATATCAAGACTTATATATATTATCATACTCTTCGTACCATTTTCATGGAACGTTACGATCCCAGCGCCGTTCGATACAGTATACAATTATCTCCCAGAGATTAATGAACACTGTTATCCACGTATACGTAAAATCTTATACGAGTGTGACACACGTTTGGTATATGCGTGCAGCGGTATTTATTGCCCGAAATCTTGATTTTTCTCATTCTCGCATCCGTGCTTACACCCGTGCTTTGTGCGCCTTCGCATGCGTAGCTTCCAACATATAGAGGATGGAGAAAAAAAATCAGAAACATCCTTGCAATTGTACACGTCAATTTCAAGTGTGTCCTGACTTTTGAATAACTCTGTATACGTACATATATATAGTTCGTTATGCAATACCTGGTGGTCCAGAATTGTCCGGAAATATGATCCAGATGAAATTCGAGATCTTGTTACTGCTGGGCCATTGTAGACACAGAGCCACTTCCGGATCACCAATCGACATGAAACTGATACACTTTTCAAAAATATTCGTTCTCATGGGTATTGATATTTTAAAAATAAATATTAATTACTTGGGAGAACGAAGTCCTCGTTATACGGCGATGCTAGTGAAATTCTTGAAAAGTTAAATGAAAAAGTGCAGTGTATTTTTTTTTTTTACTTATGTACAAATTTTTTAAATAATATTCTCTAACCTAGTGCACTTATGATTTTTTGAGGGTATCACTGACGCCCAGTATATATGTATACATAGGTATTGTACGGTATATAATATGTACACTACAAACAGCGTGAGCTTTCACAGAGCTTGTCGGTTATATCGTACACGCGATATATACACATTGTGCTTCGTATATACAATGCGTGACCAGAGTGTGTATAAGGGTGTGCCGAAAGAATATATTATCAAATAATAATAATGTACAAGTATATTGCCGGTGCTATAGTAGTATTGATACTGTAAATAGGTAAACAAGCATTAATTAGCCAAAACTGCTGATAATCTTTAATCTCGTGAACAATCATTAAACACTACTGGTACACATTGCTCCATGAGAGATATTTCATGAGTATATTTGCAAATAATAAATTGCGTAAATTTTCTTTGGGCATACCTATCTGCGTTAATTGGTGAAAAGAATACTAATAAATTGAAATATATCGAATTCGTAGGTCTACCAAAAGTGAGAAAATGTATCCGTCGATGCTGGCGCGTGGAAGCGGCGCCTCTTCCTCGGTCGGTGAAGAAGTTGGCGTCGGTATGGGAATTGGAGTTGGCGTCGAACCTTACTATAGCGTTCCCGTCGGCACAGCCAGTTGTACCGGACAACATTGGTCCCAACCAACTTCACCGACTCCAACTCATACTTCGCGACAGCCACCCAATCTCTATCAGCACGTTCATAAGGATGACGACAGTGAGTATATGATATTTGTAATTGAACAACAAAATTTGGTCGTTGGTACCATTGTATTTGTATATATATTTTTTTCAGTACACGGCTCTTCGGTTTCATTGGTATCTACAGCAAGCAGTCTCTACAGCTCCGCCGAGGAGAAACAAGCTCACGAACTCAGAAAATTACGAAGAGAGCTAGTGGACGCTCAGGAGAAGGTGCACTCGCTAACCAGTCAGCTGTCTACCAACGTGAGTAAACAAAAAAAATTTATAATTTTACGTATTATAATTTAGCCAAACAGGGCCTAACCAAGGCGTTCGATGTAGCAGCTGTCGAATTTGCTTGATATATCTTAATCGAAAGGCTCTGTATACATTCTACTATAGGGAAGACGCATCAAACACATTAGCACGGTTTACTTAACGGTATATTTAATGTCTCCAGGTTTTTGTGCTTTTTGTCCGGATTTCTCAACAGAGGATTCGCCGAACGGAAACTAGTTTCGTGTGCGATAACGGTGATCCCGTCATATCGAACTGATCTACTTTCTCCGATCTCCACTCATTAATTATGCCTAAACTTATGGACGATATATAATTGAATTTACATATAGCGAGAGAAACCTTGTTTAGGAATTTTTTCTGAGAGTTTATGTTTTAAAACTTTTTAAATTTGCGCCTTATACCCGCCAGATATATTTTTAAGCATGGCGCATCCTACGGCGCGTCCTATTGGTCGATTCTACGCTGGATGCAATGGGGGTCATCGAGCTCTGGCCAATAGGAGGCCGCCGCTCTTCCAGCAGGCGTCCTATGCGTACTTGTAGGTCTAGTGAAAGAATTGGTGGATCAGTAAGCGCCGAGACGCGGTTCGTGTCGGAGCGTGGATGTACACGCTGCCTCGAAAAAGTATGACTGTGCCGAGTTGAGAGTAAAATCGTCTACTCCGTTTATATCCTTATATTTACGTAGGACATTCGTGAAATATAGTTAACGTATACAATAAAAAGTGTGTAATAAAAAAATTAACAAGAAACGATTTTGGATAATCACACGTGAACGTTTCTCGCACTTCGACACACGTATAGCGATGACCCAACGGCCTTACCGATAACAATTATCAGTATCTATTGATTCCACTTCCCTATCAGTCTTCGATGCGTGCATGATGTGTTCTGATAAAAAAATGACGATAAGAGTCTTGACGTTTTTCCTTGTTTTTTTTTTTTTTTTTTTTTTTAAACGTAAAAAACTATACCAAGACATTCACTACGGGCCCAATACGTAGGACGTTATTTTTAATCTCAAAAGTTTCGATTATACACAGTGCCCAATAGTTGTTGAAATAACAGGCAAGATTTTGCCTCAATATTGATCCATACAAAGGAATAAAATTTCTAATTGGAAGTTAATGTTTCAATCGACAAATGGTTATTTTTAACGTCAAACGTATAAATATCCCATGCAATTCCACGACAGAAGGAAGCATCAAAGGGAATCCTATCCAGGAAAACCGCTATTCCCTTCAAGCCAATATTCTCAAGATAGGGTGGAAAAGAGTATCGCGCGATCTTGCGTACCGATAGATCGCCTCCGTGCCGTACTTATATGGCCAAGAGTATTCTTCTTAGGTTGTGCTTCTCCGCTTGTCTTACCCCGCGACTCACTACACTACCTGGCTTAGAACTCATACTGGAATCATCAAGCATTCTCGATGCGTGCACCCGTACTCTTCTGTTTTCTCCTTTACGTCTCGAACAGCCAAGCACTCAACTAGCCAACTTCTCTGTAAGCCACCAGTGGCTTATAAGCCCTTGTCTCTCTGAAGTCACGTCCACTCTATTCGCGCCGGAATTAAACCGTAACAGCCGAGTTCTGTGGCCCGAAACACAGGAGATTAGAATAAGACTAAGCAAAACTCCAGCTTACACCGGGCTTGACTCAGAAGCTCCTTGCATTTCCTGGTATCCCAATTCCTATTGTTAGTAACGTTTCGAAAATACAAACGGAAGGAGAGAGACGGACGATTGAGAGATAGAAAGAAAATATATGGGCATTAAATATTATTCCTATTCCTGAACACGTAGCATTCGCCAGGAATATCTGCACGGACCAATATTCTCCCTGGCTTAGAAATACATTTCTAAAACGCGTCTTTCCCTCGCCGGGTGAAAGAAGTAAATTCTAAACTCCTGATTTATGTGCGTGGCCCACTGTGTCTACGAAGGGGCTTATATAAAAAGGGCACCAGGGTGTCGAAAGGCAGACCTCAAGGCCCAAGATATCCTAAACGAAGCCTTCCAACGCGCAGTAAGGCCCCGTTACTGAAAATTTTTCAAATCGTATCTATAAAATAGAAATCCCTTAAACGTACCCTGCTTTAACTGGCTAACTCAGGCCTGGTAGCCAAAAGGGACCTTACGCGACAGCCAATGGCGTCTGACTCGAGATATCCAAGGTAGTTAACGCAGTCAAGGTGGTAGTTAAAGCCAACTGAGGTAGCCACCGATAGGAATGAAAACGAACCACGTGGGCAGGAACCATTAGAGATTTCGTCGCCTTGGAATTTATAAACTGGCGAAAGTGTCACCCGCGTGGGTGTGCTTCTCTTTTAATCCCTACGTAGTACAAAACACAACGTAATCCCTATACATAGGCGCATACGTGTATACACATAACCACCCGTTGAAAAATACAATTATCTACACGGTACAGGATTAAGGGTCCCCTACGCCTTTGGCAAAAAGAAGGCCCAATGCCCGGATCCTGCCCTCTTTTCTCTTATACTGTCCCTTAAGCCATAGCACGTAGTGACAGTAATAACACTGGAGGCACTGCTAGCTCACTATTGCTAGCTTATCCCTGCAACATAGTTTACTGCCTATGGCAGTATTACCTGTGCTATACAGTACCCTACAACTACTCATAGTAGTACTATAGCCACTTGGCCAATCACCCTTGGCAAAGCTTCCTTTTCTAAATTACATCCAACCGCACGGGCCTGCAATCTTCGGGCCCAATTACCAAGGGACCTAGCGGTCCCTGGCTACTTTCCTTCGCAAAGAGGTACACCCGGTACGTACGCTACACCACTACAGTATCAAAGTAACACCATCGTTCCGTGGCTATCCCTTTACCAACGATCCTCAAGATACTTCCTCTCCGACTATCATTCTAGTCGGTACACCGAAGGCGAAGACGTACGTCAAGCTGTACCAAGAATTCCTCAAGTTAACCAAGTATGAGCATCCCATGGAGATATCAAATCTTAGGGATATCAAATCTCGACTCGTTAACGTATATAAAGAAATGAATAGAAGATCCGTGACACGAGTGACCGTACGTCATTTAGTACCCCGTACACATATGTATAACATATTCAATCTTGAACTCTTGAAATAGTTTTACATGCATCGCACACCCCTCCCAAGATCTTAATGTATATTCCTCGTTTTTTTTTTTATCACGACGTACATCACTTTCGTATATACAGTTACCATCTATCATATACGTGCGTTTGTAGCATCCAGTGGTACCTAGGGCATATATACATATACATATAAGTTAGTACCAGAAGATGAGCACTTGCTCAAGTCCCCAAGACCCCGTTCTTGATTGGAGCCAACTAGCCAACCAATCCTGTCGCTTCGCTTATTAAAACTCTGTTGTTTTGCCTCCTTTGTTTCTCTTTTAATGCTACATTAAGTACCCCTACGTCGCTCGACCTCGTCGTCATCGCCGTCGCGGACGTCGATTCTTCCTCCTGGTGATTCCACGTCGTCTCTCTCTCTCTCTCTCTCTCTCTCTCTCTCTCTCTCTCTCTCCCTCCCCTCTCTCTGCGTAATCCGGCGCATAAGATTTTTAATGGCTCGAAGGACAAAGGGCCAACCGGTCGACCGGTGGCTCAGCTCATTTTTCCAGTTACCCTGACGAAACTGACCCGAGCCTGTACCGTGTGCACGCGTCTGACACATACCGAGGTTCCACATATGTAGAGACTCGCTATATACTGGGTTGTACTGTACGGTCGAAGGGAGCTCTGGAAAAAGTGGAAGACACCGGGAACGAGGAGCATCGCCATCGTTACTTTTCTCGGAAGCGATTTTATTTCATAAGATTCCACCGGGTACGATCACCTATGTGCCTTACACATATGTGCCATACGCTCGTTGTGTATCTTGTACGTGTGTGACGTATAGGATCCCTACTGGTACTTTACCTGACTGTGCGGATCCAAGTTCAGGAAGCACGCAGGAGTCTGATAACTCTCTATATTAGAAATCGTATGAGGTCTATACGTCATATGTGTTACACATATGTACTTAGCTACCTCTTGGTACATATGGGTATATGGAGTGATTGCTCAATTTACTGCGTTTACTTAACTCTGATAAGATTGGCGCGTTGCTTATCGTAAAAG